ATAAAAAAAACCTGAATAGAAAATTAAAAAAAAAAAGCTGCCATAAAAACATTCAACCAAAACCAAACCTTGTTTTTACCCTTTCCACGGGATAATGATTTTATATACGAGGGTAAGTTGAAAAATAAGTTTCCCCTGTCGACTGTGGTCAGAGTTGTGTATGAAAGTCAAAAAATAGAATGAGACATTAAAGATATGACATACCTTTATTTTTCCACATAGGTACCAAGTACATTGAGACATTTGTCATATCGCTTGATAAGCTTCAAAAAGCCCTCCAGGAAAAAATCAGGGCTTTGCATATGGAAGAAGCGTTGAACGGCTTGTTTCACTTCAGTATTGCTTCCAAAGCGCCTTCCCCCGAGATTTTTCTTCAAAGCCGGAAACAGATGGAAGTCGCTTGGTGCGAGATCAGGACTGTATGGCGGATGGTGTAGGCGCTCCCAACCAAGAGTTGCAATATGGTTTTGCGTTGCCGTCGCCGAATGTGGTCTGGCATTGTCATCCAACAGCAGAACGCCAGATGTGAGAAGGCCAGGCCGCTTTTTCCGAATCGCCTCTTTCAATTTCGACAGGGTGTCACAGTAGCGCGTAGCATTGATGGTTCCAACCTCCAAAAAGTCCAGCAACAAAACTCCTTGGGCGTCCCAGAAAACTGTGAGGAGCACTTTACCTGCAGAGGGAGTTGTCTTGAACTTCTTTCGGACAGGTGATGACGGATGTTTCCACTCCATAGATGCGGCCTTCGATTCTGGCGTGAAATGGTGGACCCACGTTTCATCCCCCGTCACAATCCGAAACAGAAAGTCATTGCCATCTTCATGGTAACGCACGAGATGTTCCAGGCTGACCCCCATGCGTTGTTCCTTGTGTGTCGAGGTCAATTGTCGGGGCACCCATCGTGCTGACACTTTTCTGTATCGAAGAATGTCGTGGATGATGTTTTGAGCTCGCTCATGTGAGATTCCAAGTTCTTCCGCTACTTCATCGATGGTGATACGCCGGTTCGCTCTAATCATGTCATCCACCTTCCTGACATTTGCATCTGTAGGGGCCGTGCGCGTCCGTCCAGCTCTCGGCATGTCCTCCACTTGCTGACGTCCATCACTGAATGTGCGACACCATCTTCGCACCATTTGCTTCCACATCACACCTGGCCCATAGACTTCCACGAGACGGTTATGAATTTCTGTTCCTGATACTCCACGTGCCCATTCATAGCGGATAACCATCTCACTTCCTCCTTTGACCACGAATTCAAAACGCACCTTCTCTCCAAACCTACCGAGGCTCAAATGAGAGGCTGGTCTCCGCTTTGCGCAGGCACTGCAACAGTGACATCTGCTTGATTTGCAGCGACCTCTACCCAATGGTGTATTGGTGACTTGCGCGTTTTCCTGCTGTGTGGCCTTTCGCCCATAGCCGTTCAATGCTTCTTCCTTATGCAAGCCGTTCAATGCTTCTTCCTTATGCAAAGCGTGAATTTTTCTTGGAGGACTTTTTGAAGCTTATCAAGCGATATGACAAATGTCTCAACGTACTCGTACGAGAATAATAAAATAAAGGTATGTCATATCTTTAATGTCTCATTCTATTTTTTAACTTTCATACACAACTCTGACCACAGTCGACAGGGAAAACTTATTTTTCAACTTACCCTCGTACATCATCAAGTAAATCAATTCTCAAAACTAAAATTTTTGGTCCTATTTCAGTGTGCTATCGTCTAAAAAACTTGACCAGTTTGTTCTTCAGCTTCTAGTACATTTTTTACAAAAAACATTATCTTTTAAAGTGGTGTTCCGATTGAAGTTAACGGACTGCTAAAAATATATTTCATGTGCTTACAAATATATGTCAGCTGAAAACATATATTTATAAATAAATACAAATTTAACATAATCTTTAATGCAGTGGAATATTTAAAAGAATATCAAATTTAATTTATAATTAACGTTTTCAGTTTTTACCTGTTTCAAAAGAAAAAAATAACAAATCTTTTAATATCTGATTTGCTATAGCAGTTTGATATAGTCAGGCAATTATTTTCATTAAAAGTAAATGAGTATGCAGAACTAGGAAATAATTGTCAGGACAAATTTTGCTATTTATGGACTTGGAATTATAATTTTTGCCGCTGATTTTCTTGAACCGAATTTCTTGAACGTCTGATTTTATCTGCGAACAAGTACTGTAGTTGCAGTTATCTTATTTTTTTTTAAATCTTTTTTTTAACTAAATTCAGCTGATTGCTGACTTTTTCAGCATGCAGATTTCTCGCTATAATGTTAATTCAGAAATAAGTATTTTTTAGCAAAACATTCTTTCCCTAAGCGAGCGTTCATTGCTACTTCTGCCGCCATTAATTTTTGGTAACTGCACCTGATTTGCTCCTTTTTTACCACGTGACCCCAATGTATCTGCAGACATAGGGATACGGATTGCAGATGTCAATCAAAGTGAATTCGATCACTAATTGGAGAAACGCATACGCAGCAGTGGAAACGGGCCTTAAGCCTGCACTTACATTTAAAACACTAATTTCACTTATTATTAGAAAAGATCTCAAATTTATTGAAAAGAACAGCTCATAAGCAACCATGCTAGCATACTGCAAATTTCAGCCATGAGTCAGCAAATCTGCCCGTAATTCCATAGCAGCATGAGGGTTTTTTTTTTTTTTTTTTTTTTTTTTTTTTTTTAATAGGACCAGGGGTTTTTTATTTGCAAGTAATATAAAACTGAATAAATTTTTGGTCTGAGTAAATTGTTGTATGAGTGGCTACCAGACTCATCCACAGGTGGTGGACAGCTGGACGTCCTGTATTATCCGAGAGGATAGCTTTGAATAATAAATAAGAAGCTGTGATATTCTCTCCCATAACCCTGATGTTATGCGACCCGTGCCTAAGGTGAATGACACTGCAGTTATAGTGTATTAACAGAGCCTCTAGAATGCCTTATCCAGCAAAGGCAATGCTGGTCGGACCTTTTTATCCTATACTTTCTTTTCTAGTTTATACATGGCTGAAAATGACAATATAGCTAGAATTCTGCTTTTGCAGGCAAAACCTCTGAGGTAGACCTTTCTTCTCAAAACAAGGAAACCCAGAGGAAATCAACTGAAGGAACAGAAATGAATCCTTCAGCAAGTGAGGTAGAAATGACCTGTGCTCAAATTACTCAATCAACATCAGGAGAAGGGCAGGAAGCTATTTAAAAACATGACTGACTCTTTAGATAAAATCAAAATGAGAATGTGAGGAGGGGGAGAAATTGGCTGTACTCATTGAGGGACATACTGGAAAATGCTTATCGGAGGAACAGGCTACTGAACTTCTGATAATGTTGACTACTTTAGATATTCTCTCTATACTAAGGAGTTTCATGCAAGCTCTATTAAAGAGCTGTTAGACACAAACAACATAAACAAAGTAGGCAACCCAAAGCTAGGAAACATTGGTTTTGGTGCATTTGGCACAAAATGCTATTTAGCAAGAGGTTCCCAATACCTGACAAACTCAATATAAAGAAGAAGAAATTATTGTAGCAGTAGCCAAGAAAAGACATACATTATGCAATTTAAAGCTTTACTATTAATAAGTTAAATAAATGTCAAATAATTTCAGTTACAGATAGAAATATGAATTCAAGGAACAGATGTTTTTCTTCAGTGACCTTGGCATGGCCTCTTAGTAAAAGTTATGTCTTTAAATTCTTTTTCAGAAGACAAAGATTGACTTGAAACATTCAACACAATCATTCACTTTTTTAACTACTTGTCTTTTTTCCTCAACTGACAACAGGTATTCACTTCTAGGATTCTTATATATACTTTAATGGCAAAAAAAGAAAAAGAAATAAACAGTCTTTCAAGGACAAAGCCCCTTTGGACTAAAAAAATCTGAAAGGTTTCAGATTTGAAATTACGTCCAAGGGGGCATTTTTTTAACATTTTGTGTGTTACCATTATTTATTAAATATCATTTTCTTTGCACTTAAGCCTTAAAATTCAGTTCAAGAGCAATATCGCAAAATAATTTAAAATTGAGCTTATCTTTAGAATTTTCGATACAGAGTCTCATGCGCTGGAGATAAAAATGTTTTTTCTGTAGAATGTTGCCATTGCACGCTTTGAAATCCTTGAGTTTGTTAACCAAAAATTCGTTACAGATTTACAAAATATGAAATCGATAATAAAACAAATTCCAAATTTGGGCTTCCAGATGCCCATATTTGCAGTAGTAATGCGTCATTCAAAATTTGATGGCTCTATGTACCATTGTTTTATCACCAATGCAAGAAATATACATACATTTATGCAGATTTTTCATTATTTAATTTCTTCAAATATAATGCAGGACTTTAACATCTGGTGGCAACAGTTTGAAAAGTGAAACGGACATTTATAGTGAACCAACGCAAAATGAAAACAATAGTCCTTCAGGGACAAAACTCCTTTAGACTTTAAAAAAAAAAAAAAAAAAAAACTGCTTTGGCTTGATAATAAATTATATACATTCGCAGAAAAACATATTTTATACAGTACCATTTATTTGCATTTCAGAAACAGACTAACCAAACTGGATTTCATAATGACAAGTATTGCCCTCTGCTCACACCATGAAAATAAAATCAGTTTGATTAGTTATGTCATGAAATATTATTTCAATTATGTAAATATAATTTTGGATACACACATAGAATTTTGTTAGCAAGTTTGATTACAATGCAAAGTGACCACAAAGATCTCTTACAGAGGACAAAACTTTCAGACTTATATTTTTACTACTAACTCTAATCACACATTAATACTGTATTTTTTTATTATTATTTAACTAAACATATTTCCACCAACAGATAAAAAGGAACTGTTTTATGAAATATTTTAATGCATCCTAAAAATATCATGAAAATTTACTATTGAATATATTACTATAAGCTTTATTAGGACCCAGTGCAAAACACAACAAATTAATTACAGTTCACATATTCCTCACCATCTTTTACACTCCTTATTGTCAGAAGAGGATCCCCTTGTAGGTTTTGGTTTATCTGCAGAATCTCCTGTTTCTTCGTTTGTGGAATTAATCTATAAAACAAATAAAACAATTGTCAACAATTTCTAAACATATTAGAATCACAGTACAAATAAGTCAGAAATCTTTTTTTTTTAAATAAATATAAACAAACAATGAAATATGGTACAATTCCATACACAATCTCTAGATACATTTTCTTGCAAGCAAAATGATTTAAAATAACACACCAAATAATAATTATTTGGGAGGTTAAGGAAACAAGAATCAGCATAATATTCATAAATTTCCAGCACTAGTTAGTTTCAAAGGTTTAAATACAGAACCTTCATTTGAAAAAGTAGCTAACGCTACAAATTTATGAATATTGTGCTGATTCTTGTGGCCATAATTCCTTCAATAAATTTATAAAATCAATATAACTAAGTACTACTCTATCACACAAATTATTTCTTGCAAATAACGTAAAAATACATAAATATATTACAACAGGAAAATGGCTTTCTTAACAGGGAATTTTAAAAAAAAATCATATTAATTTTTTTACAGACACTAATGTTTTACAGATCTTGTACAAATTTTCATGCATTTACTTAGAACAAAACACACCTAAGATATTCTGCAAAAATGTAAAAATAGTCTCAAGAAAAAAGAACTTAGTCAACAAGAAAAACAAATGAAAACATTTGACCTCGTTGACATATTACAACTGCCTGATACAGCTATGAATGTAATAAATATTTTCTTCATAACTTTGTGGAAGTATTAAGCCCAAGAACAAATATCAGATAGCTGTATTCTGCTACAGCAGTGGCTGCCAACCTTTTTTGTTCCATGCACCTTTTTTAACCACTGGTTGACGATAATCCCTCCCTCCATTACAAAACTAAAAAAATTGATATACATTTATTTTAGTTTAGATTATTTTTAATCTGTTTCATAAATTAAATAAGAAAAATTACAGAAAATGTTAATAAATACCAAAACTTGAATAAAAGTAGTTCTTATATTCATAAAATAAAACTGAATACTTGACAGGTTCATTGCCCCCTGATTGAGAACAAACACCTGTGAACCAACCTCCTTATGAAGTTTCACCCCATAATGTGAATAATCCAAGCTGAAAATGAAAAATCTGAAATTATTAAAGTAATTTCAACAATCTGAAAATGTTGAAATTACTTTAATAATAAGTAATTTAAAAAATTATCTTTATAAATAATAATTTATAAAGACCACTAATATAGTACATAAATGAAAAGTTTTTTTTTTTTTTTTTTTTTTTTTTTTTTTTTAAAATTTGTAGACATGCAGTATCTTACATAAATCTTACATTAAATACTTAATTATTATAAATAAATTCTGGCCTCAAGAGTGGTATATAAAGACTAAATTTTTAGTGATATTGATTTATTGATTTATAGTTGAAATTAAAATTATATTTTGAAAAACTGAAGGCTGAATGAAACTGGAAATTGGTACTAATCAAAAGATCATAAAACATCTCAGAATTTAAATGGCCAGCAACAACTGTTTAAAATCAACGCACTTTTCAACAGGAAAGGACATACGGCAATGTAAAACTTAAAATTAGGCAGAAAAGTAACACTATTCTGACATAGATTTTAAATAAAATTCTGACAAATTCAAAGGTCCCTCTTCCTTTCCTTCTATATAGGTACCTCTTCTTCAGAAGCAAAAATGTATAATTCTGCAGAATATATATATTTTTTTTCCTCTTGAATAATAGAGACCTATGTTTGATTTCCCTTGAAATTGAAAGAATTTTATTTAAAATCTATACCAGTTTGTTCTGCCCAATTTTAAGCAATGTATTTTTTCTTTGGAATGCAACTAGTCTCTCTTACATCGTGGCTACAAAACTTTAATCAGTACTCTTTTATATGCTGGATATTTGTTAAGAGAATAATTTTTTTGCTTCTTTTTTTAAAAGAAAAAATATATATTTATTTAATTCAAAGACAAAAAGGTTAATAACCTAATGACTACTTAGGACACAAGTCTGTATTTTCTTTTGTGCAAACAATAATCTAAAATCAGTTTTGATTAACAATAAAAAGCATCATCTTTAACTAACAATGTTAAATTCCACTAATGTCTCCCATAGATAAGATCTTGCATTCCAAAACATTCAATACTGCATCACAGACAGGCTAAAATATAAGATTATACCATCACTGCTAGATAGAGCTAACATTTGACTGACTATACTTTTCAACATTTGAGTGATCTATACCATGGGTTGGCAAACTATTGCCCACAGCTTAATATTGTTTTTATATGCAAAAAAATTTTAAGTAAATTAAATTGCATGCTCTAACACAACTGCCAACAATCAAGTTAAGAAGTTGCGAATAATGGAGACATGCAGCATTGCTGGCATCGCACATTCGCATTTTGTTGTCTGCTGCTGCTATAGATCACGTTGCCAGTTCTCTCAGTTTTGTCTTAGCAGTACATATCATGTCTATCAGGGCTTACTAATTATAAATGCTTTGTGATATTCTGTTCTTTCCATTTTAATTTATTTGCTGCCCAGTATTGCCATGCCACTCTTAAAACTAGATTAGAAAACAAAAGTGGACTTCAAATATCATGCTTTTAAAGCAGAATGGAGTGTAAATTGTATTGTCACACAATTAAATAAAAAAATATTATGTTTATTACATGATGATATAATAGCTGTACATTATACATCATCACTACCAAAATAAGGACATGAAACAAAACTCAAAATTCATGAAAAGTGAACACTAAAACTGGAAAGTTTAAAATGAGGTATGTCACACATACAGGTATGACAGCACAGTTTTCTTGCAAAAATAAAAAGATGATACTGAAGCAATAACTTTTCAGTTTGTGAACAACTCATTTATTAGCTGAGAGTGAAGCCATTCACTGAAGAGAAATTGCTTAAATCATATTTTCTTAATTGCTGAAGAAATGTTACCAGAAATAATGGAATTGGTTCAACCTGTCAGTCATTTGATGAGAACAACTGTTGGATGAGTTGAGAACATCAGGACAACTTAAAAATTTCAAATAGTTTTTGTTGGCTGTTGATAAATCAACAGTCATTACTGATACTACCCAACTGCTGCTGTTTACGGGGTTCGTAGCCAAAATAAATAATAAGCACCACATTTTAAGAAAAAAAATATAACCACCTGTTTAATTACATACGTAGGGGAGTCAACTGAAAACCATAAAAGTAGAAATAAAAATCCGCATATAACGCCAGTGAGCTGTAAGTTGGCATGCCTGTTTGTGATAGTATGCCGGATGTCTCCTAGGTGGCAGCAGCCGGCAGATGCACAAACACCGGCGCAACAACAGTTCCAAAATGGCAGCCCTACTAGCCACATGCACGAGGAGCAGCGTTCTGTGATTCGGTTTCTGCAAAGTGAAGGTGTGAAACCGATTGACATTTTTAGGCAAATGAAGGTTCAGTATGGAGATGCGTGTTTGTCACAGCCACAAATTTATGAATGGTGCCAGAAATTTGCAAATTTACGTCCGTGGCCGTTACGTTGAAACGTGAAATTTACGTCCGTGGCCGATGCTCCATGCCCCGGCCAGGCTCGGCACTTAGTGACTCCAAAGACCATTTCACCCGTTGGAGCCATCATTTTGGAAAACTGCCGTGTGACAATAACCGAAATTGCAGCATGTGCACACGAGTCATGGATCGGCACATCATATTGTGCATGATGTTCTTCAGTTTCATAAGGTGAATGAATTGTGCAAGAATTGTGCCCTGACAACTGACGCCTGAACTGAAACAGCGACGTGTCGATGCGTGCGAAGACCTTTTGTGGCATGCTGAACGTGACGGTAATGCCTTCCTGTCACGAATCGTCACTGTTGATGAAACATGGGTGCATTACCATCAGCCTGAAACAAAGCGAGCGAGCAAGGAGTGGCACCACTCCTCATCACCGAAACCCAAAAAGTTTCGGGCACAGCCGCCTGAAGGTTATGCTGACCCTCTTTTGGGACGAAAAGGGCATCATCTTGGAACACTACACGCCCCGAGGAACCTCTGTGACGAGTGCTACGTACTCGGACCTCCTAAAAAATCATCTCCGGCCTGCCATCAAAACGAAACGATGTCAACCGGAAACGATGTTGCTGTCAGCCGGTGTGCTGCTGCAACACGACAATGCACGGCTCCATACGGCGCGTGCAACGGTTGCGACCATCACAGACCTGACCTGAAATTTGAATACCTCCCACATCCCCCTTACTCGCCAGACCTCGCACCGAGCGATTTCCATCTGTTTGGTTCGCTCAAAGAAGCAATGGGCGGCAGGAAGTTCCACTCCGATGAAGAGGTATGCAACGCGGTGCACGAGTGGTTGCGCCGTCGCCCAATAGACTTTTTTTCTGCAGGTATTCAGACTCTTCCTAAGCGCTGGCGGACTTGCAGTGAACGAGGAGGGGACTATGTTGAAAAGTGATTTACTTCTGCACCATGTGTGACCAATAAATAATATTTAAAAAATAATTATGGTTTTCATTTGACTCCCCCTCGTATATACACAACTGCATAACCTTAAAATAAAAATGAGATTTAGCTGTAATTTAAAATCAGAGAAATTCAGTATTTAAAAAGAAAATCAGCATTACTCAACCATGGGAAATAATTACAATTATTTTTTAATTGTAATTGTTTTCTATGGTTTACAGTTACATTTATAGAAGACAATAACAGTTCAATTTACAGAACTAGTTTACAATGACAGGGGGAAGAACCTTACGCAAAACTAAACTATATTACAAGATTCAATGATGAAATATCAGTTTAAGGAAAATAAATAATAAACTATATTTATTATATTCATACAAAGTACTTTATAACATAAAAAAGAAACAAGAAAAAAGATTTATGCTTATCAATTAAATTTTAATTTAGTGATTTATGCTTATTAATTAGTAATATCACTTTTATTTTTGATTTTTCTTTCCTTTAATGTTTGAATCTAAATCTCTTAAGAGAGTTTGCTTTTCACAAATAGTTTTTAACATTTCATTAGATTTATTTAAAAGATTAAAGTCTTTTGTAACTTCAGCCTTTTCCGCAAGTTCATTTGCTTTATTTCCAAGCACTTTAACATCTCTTTCTAGGAGAGTTTTCTTTCTTTTAAGATAAATCAATTCATCTGTTGATTCTGCTGTTTTTCTTTTTTTATTTAAAATAATTTCTTTTTTTTTTTTTTTTTTTTTTTTTTCCCTGCTCTTCCAAATATAACTGATACTGTAAATGAGCTGATGAAGCTGCCACTCTTATCTCTTTAGTAATTGACACATTGTGTATTCCACCAGCATGTTCCACATAATCACAAACTATGTGCTGGGCAATGTATGAATTTACCCCTCCCCGAATGTTGCTCTTGATTAAAAAAAAAAAAAAAAAAAAAAAAAAAAAAAAAAAACACTATGATCTGTAGCCCAATTATCACCATAAACATATAGATTGTAAAAATATATTTATAAACAAAAAAAAATATAGCCCAATGAAACTGAATATTCTGCTTAGCAAGCACAGTAAAACTATTAATAATAAAAAAATAATAACCAGTCAATAATAAGAATATTCTGAATGGCTTAAACAAAGCGAACTGTAACGGTCTGAATATCCGAGATTTTTCATAGAAAGGGGGGAGAGGATCCAGAACCTTATGACCCCTCTCTTCCATACTGTAGAATGCAAGGCAAAAAAAATTGAAAATGTAAGCCCAAAATTTCCAACTTTGAAGATACGCATGAAATGCAGAAATAATAGGAAGGAGGGAATATAGTAAATGAACAGTGTGACAAAAGCCTTTTAAAAGCAGGAAAAAGAAAATTAAAATTAAATAAATAAATCAACGGTTCATGGGAGATTTAAATTTCTCATTTTCACACAAGAATTAGTAATAATTAAATAGAAAAATGTTTACTTACGATTCATGTGACACTTTAAAGCAGACTCTCCCATACTTGCTACGTTGATTTCAGTTTTACACCAGGAACACATGGCCTTGCGATTATTTTTGCTTTGTTTAAGCCATTCCGAATATTCTTCCTTAGGAACCCAATCTGTGTTAAAAACACACTTACCCATTTTCAAAGTTTAGCTATACTTCAGCATTTACTGCAAATATATTATAAATATTCATACATATGCTTATAAGCATAACGATGGTAAAAAATTCGAATATGAACTGACCACATGGGATTTGGAACGTCTATAGTCTGTGGGTGGGAGGAAAAGTAAGTGAAATATACCGGAATTTTCCACCCCTTGCACAACTCTTTGATCAATAGAACGACGTACACCTGTCTCTACTCGCGCAAATCAAAGGTTAAAGGTTACGTTAATGTGAAGAAAGCTATTTGCGGAAGTATGATTCACAATCTGAAGCTCCAGATAATAAAGAAAAAGTTGTTTATTTAATTGAAACTTTGATGCGGGTGAAAAAAGCACTAAAAAAAGTAAGTGCTTTAGAGAAAAGCACCTATTAGGTTAAGCAGAAAAAATAAGCACCTATAAAGGCTTTTATAATTTATTTTCAAATATAAGGACTTATAAGCACTTGTTAGGACCGTTACGAACCCTTTGTTTATTTGAGGTGACTGAAGAATTGGTATCTATGAATAGTCTACATGGAGAAAGTAAAGGCAAAGATAATTTCAAAGAAATTCACAAAATGCTAACACAGTAAAATCTGCAATGGAATTAGTTAAAATGTTTCATAACTGGTGTGGTAAAAATATATGAGGACCATGGAAATGATTAGTTGGACACATTTTCAAGGCTTGTGAAGAAATTAAATTCTCAAAACCTCTGATAATTTACCAGTAGGCTTTTTGCAGGAAACACCTCAAACGATCAGCAATGGAAAGTTTATGCAAATTAATTTCAGATTTCTGACGTCAGAGAATAACAGAAATTTTTATTAAATAAGAAAAACTGCTCACAACTGCTACTACCGAACAATGAACGAGAAACTGACTTAATTCACTATGTTACTAATGTAAACAAATGGCGGTGTTTATATTTATTTACATTAGTAACATTACATTAACATTTACGATAGTAGGCTTAGTGGAACTTAAACAACTTCTAAAGTGTTGATAATTCTACATCTGTTGCATGCAAATTAACTAAAGGCATAAGAACAGTATAATTTAATCACTTTTAAAGCAAAAAATGCACAATTTGCCAACATATAAGAATAAAAAAACTTCACTCACACAGCCAAGTTTCAACAAAGTGGGTATATATATATATATAGAGAGAGAGAGAGAGAGATTTACATACTTTTGGTTCAGATGATTGCAACCAAACAGGGATGTGCACATCTATATGGTATTGCAGTCTCAAGTACAAAATTTAAACATTCTGAGACTAATTGCTTTTGAGTTATGAGAGTTATGTATGTAATGATATTTTTAAATCAGTTGACTAAATTAAATTATAATCATATTGCTTAATAACGTGTTGGCGATTCTCTACCTAAATTGCATCCCTATTCCTAAATTTTGGCGAAGATTGTGAGGTGGATGCTAAAATAAACGTATCACTTCATATTCCAAAATTTGTCTCATTCCTGTTGCCCCAGCTGCACAACACAAATAATGTATGAGAAAATACATTTCACGTATGTACGTCAGACGTCACGAAAAAAAATCTCTTCTGAATTCATTTGGAATCAATTTTGTAATCCGTTTGAGAAAAAAAAAAAAAAAAAAAAAAAAAAGGGAGTCCTTTATTCTGTCCATACATATAGATGTAATGCAAAAACATCGTTCAAATGGAATCGAGAGTAGTCAAAATGGGTATTTTTGTTGAAATACCATACTGCAAATTTTTCGTGATTACAATACTTCCTTTACTTCGTACAAGGAAGTAAACAAAGGGTTCAAAAAACCATCAAACTGCACCTAAGAAGTAACTTTTACCTTTTCATCTATAAAAAAATTGCCTAATTGTGCAAAAGGTAGCTTTAATTTGTAAATATCGAAAAGATTTTGATTGGGATGATTTAATGGACATAATGATTAAATTTTAGTCTGAAAATTAAGTTCACAATGTACTGAGTTTGAAGAACCTGTAGTAGATTGAAGCATAGGCTTATGTATTGGCATGCATCAGGTTTTCAGTTCTTTTACTAGAAGGGTATTTTTCAGAAATGCAAGAATTTGGTGGACACTGTGGTGTAGTTATAATAATGATAAAAATAATTATTAAATAAATAGTAAATGTCTAAAATTTGATTTGTTTATAAAAACCATTGGAATTTGGAATACAGCATAAAAAAACTCAAATACATATACTGGCATTGCTTGACTCAAAGACTGTTTAAAGAGGGTTGCAGAGTTTGGCACATTCTAAAAATTTGGCGACTTCTACTAGGGTGGTTTCATTAATATGTAAGAACCTTCTTTTCTACTTCCCAGAATATCAAATAATTCTCAAAAATCTTTCTAGAGTAAATAAAATTATTATAGGAAACCATCAAATTCACAACTAGCGAAACAAATTTGATACAAAATAACTTTTTGAAATATGGATTGTTGACAGTTGTGAATGAAAGGTGAAACAAGTTATAAAAATTTTTATTAGTAGTTTTAAATGAACCATTTTCAATCACCTCCTTATTCTTTTTTATAATTATTATTGTAGTAGCAGGTTAAAATTTATTGCTGTGTGAAGGTTTGAAATTCAGTTCAACAACAATCAAAACAATAAGATAAATACAGAAAAAAAAGGGGGAAAAAAGGATGATTACAAAAATAATTTGGAAAGAGAGAAATATTAAAAACATGACAAAAAATAAAAAGCATTTTTTACCATAGTGAAGCTTGCATGATCAGAAGAAGATGTATCAGATTTTCTTTCTAATTCTTTTACTTCCAATTGAAGCTCTGCATTCTCTTTCTCAAGTTGCTGAATTCTTTTTCGAGATTCATGTAAGGAATTTTGATTAAGTGACATTGAAGCTGCCACTTGACTATGCCAGGCAGTGACAGTGCTCATCTGCTCCTGCATGATAACATTGTTTTTCTTCAGAGCTTCTGCAGATAAACAAAAACAACTTTAATCCTAGCTTGTCTAAATAAATAAAATTACTCTTTCTTAATTGCCAAGATATTTTTGCATTATATTTCACAAAAAAAAAAAAAAAAAAAAAAAAAAAAAAAAAAAAAAAAAAAAGCTAATTGTTCTCTTATCAAATAACTGTTCATAAAGTAAGAGGATAAATCTAAAAAAATAATTTAACATTTTATGCAATCTTTAGAAACCCTTTACTTTTAAAATGCTGAAGATGCTTCAGGAAAGAGTACCAAAAGTGAAGTAAAAAAAGTGAGTCACAAAAAGTTTCTAGGTCACGTAATAGGTTCAGGCACTCACTCTCCAGATCCTGAGAAAGTCGAAGTCATCCAGAATCTGTCTAATATTATCGCTAAAAAGAAAGTCGGAAGTCTTTTAGGGCTAGCAGGTTACTCAAAGTTTGTACACATTTTTGCAGACAGAAATTAAGTACTTTTAAGGACCATTAATGAAGAAAATTAAGGACCTATTAGCAAATTGGAACTGAATAAATTCAATTAAAAATATTATTCTATGCCTAAATTTAACTTTTGTAATACCATCCTAAAAATAAAATAGATCCCTAAGTAGTATGCATTATTACTAACATGAATAAATTAACATAATAATTAATAAAGAATAAAATAAATTTTATGCAATTTATAAAGCAGCATTAAATATTTTACACTTAAACTAGTTGGACATATTTAAAAGAAGATAAGTGACATTTATGTTTTACTAACAGCGCTTTATATTGATTTTTTTTTTTTTTTTTTTTTTTTTTTTTTTTTTTTTGTCTCGCTTTGTCACACACTTGGTCAGTCTAGAGGTTTAGTAAATAGCAGGTGGATTTTATAAATGAGAAGTAAGATCATAATCAGTATGATTCATAACAAGACTGAATGTTGTCACCACTGCTGCTTGTCTAGAGAAAGACCTGCTGATTAGAACAAACTTGAAAGGCCTGATGTAGGCAACGTTGGAAAGTGTTGAAAGATAGTCAGGCTCTGTTTGATGCAGTCAGTGTCGTAGCTTCATGTAGAGTTCCAGGGGTTGTAACCCAGTTAATATACTTTAAGGTTCCAATAAGCCATTAAAGCACCAGATGAGATTAGTTGTTTTGTATAATAGTAAGTCTCACTAGATGCAAAGAATAAGTTTTACCTGAATTTTTACATTTTTGTGTTTTAATCTTGTGACCACAGTGAGTATTAATGAAAGGCAATAACTCGCTTTAATATGTAGAGATAATTTTTAAGGGTAAGCAGTTAGTTATAAATACTTATTAAGTAATTAGATAACCTTAGTCATTATGGATTTACATGGCCCCTATTAAATTTTATTTTTTAACAATATTTGTTAAAAAGCCCTACTAAAACCAAAATCTAATAAAATTTCACAGTTTAAAATACTTATAATTTATCACATTAAATTTTAAATGATAGCATAATTACACACTAAAAACTACAAAATATTTATGCTTTGTAACAATAACTCTCAACAAAATATTTATCCATCATTTTAATTTGAAACGTTCCCAAACATTTTGGCTAGCTTATATCGATTTCCTTCTCTTTAAGCACCTTTTTTAACAATCAGAGATTTGTCTCAAACTAGAAACCATTGCTCTCACTAATTTCTGTGTGCTTTATCTCCTTACCTATGAGGGTTTACTTGATCTAGTAAAAGTTAAATAGTCCAAAATCCCTGACAGACATAAAGCAAATTATCAGTATGTCTGAAAGTAACTAGAATATCAAAGGTTTAAATAAGCCTCCTATTATGAACTTAGAACATAAAGGCATGGTCTGATGCTAACAAAATCAATTACAGCTCACGGTGACGTAATTAAACAAGAACAGTCAAATTCAAACTAAAAATGTGGGCTAGTGGTCAAAGATTATACAAATTAATTTAAATTTAATTTGGCTCACTAATTCTATCATACGAGGAAACAAAAAATGGGAAATGATAGTCAAGGCTGAAATCATAAACAATTGGGTAATTTACATAATAATAACTGCACATATCTTTGAAGAATAATTTTCTTCATGTACTCAGTTTGTTTCTTCCTCACATTTCCTTTTCACATTAGAATTAATTAAGGATTTCTGTTACTCAACAAAACACTAAATGCATTTAAAATGTATAGGAAAAGTGGCTAATTTTATTTCTTTAGTAATATGAACATTTAGAAGAAATATGAAATATATAAAGGCTAATTACAGATTTAGTGTGGCAGAATTTTTAGAATTTAGTGACACACTGAACAACAAAATCTAGAAATTGCAAAACTTTTAGAATTTAAAGCAGGCATTGGAAGCAGAATTTAGAAAGGCATTAGGTAGCAGAATTTAGGATCCACAGATTACATCAAGTGGGAAAATGCCTAGTGCCCAGCTCTGTGTATGATGCAATAAGTCATTTTAGATGAATTTTTAAATTGTAAGCTTTCAGTTTCTTTATTAATAAAAAAAAATCCCTTTCTATAATGCCTGCGCTTGTGATAAGATTAGAAGCATTTTTGATATTTTTCATGTTTGAGTCTAGTGAAAAGTAGAGAAAATAAAGGGAAGATAAACATGTTAAGAAAAAGATTTTAGTATCATGAGTAAAACATTATGTTTTCATTGTTCTTCCAGACGTTCCCTGAAAGTTAGAAATTCATCACAAACTTTCTGTAAAATACATCCATTACGTGTTGATAACATGAAGATAGTTTTCATTTTGTCACATATTTCTCAAATCTTCTAGAATAGTGGATCTATAAATCTTGCCTTCAAATCCTCCTAAACTTTCCAAGCTTCAATGTCTAAAATAATAAAGAAAAATTATCCCTACCAATTCCGTTACAGCAAAATGCCAGAAATATTTTGGAAAAAAAAAAAGGAGGGAAAAAGTGTAAAATTAATTTTAATAGAGAAAACTGATGCACAGTCTGAGACAATTATAAAGGAATAACTCTTACTATGAAAAAATGTAAAAGATATTTTTAATTAATAACATACCTAATTTTGCTTTTGCTAAGAGCTGTTTCATAAATTGTGCTTTATAGCATTATACCGTTTATTTTTCAAATTTAAAATATTGTATAATAAGTTGCCAAAATGAAAACGAAAAAATTTAAATGTTTTATTTTAATGTTATTTTTTAAATACAATTTCAATATATTACCATTATTTTAATGAAATTTATCAATTTTAGGATGTTTTAAAAAAGATCGTCAAAAATTCTCAGATCTCGGAATTAAAAATTTTCTATAGGAACTGATCTTAAAATTGCAAAAATGTTGATAAGTTGCCAAATTTAGAATCATTTAATAAAAAAATTCACATCCCCAAAAGCGAAAAGTTGTTTAAGAGCTCTTTATTAGAAAAAATGAATTTCAAAATGCTTATGTTTCACTTTTTGCTTAGAAACTCAAGTATTCCATCATTTATATTAGAAATAGAAACAAATTATAACCCATGAACCCATTCAAAAGATAACCATGCATGTCAGTGAATTTCCAAAAATATTCCTCCAAAATGCTAATTCACACTCAAAATGGCAGTCCTGAAAAAAGATAGAAACAACAGATAATTAAAATTAAGGACCTTCTGATTTTGGTCAAAATTAAGGAATAAAAATTGATTCCAAAAAATTTAAGGACTCTTAAGGACCGTATGAACCCTAGTTACTATAGGAACAATATCCGAAATTTTTCTGAAATAGTTTTGCCTCTAACAAACCTTACAAAAGAGCATTCCAAATAATATTCTGTGGGACTCTGAAAGCATCTTTCAACAAACTTACAGAAGAGCTGATTAAAATGCAATCCCTGCATACCTTGGACATTGACAAGCCCTTTCCTCTATACAGATGCATCTGCATTTGCAACTGGAACATGTTTAGCTCAAAATGATGAACATGGCAAAGAAATGCCCAGGTCATTTTTCAGCAAAAAACTATTACCAATGATGGTCAACCATCGAAAGAGAAGCATTTTCTATCATCAAAGCCTTGAAAAAATTTTACACCTGGATTTTTGGTGCCAAAGTGCAAATTCTGCCTGACCGCAATCCCTTCACCTACTTGACCCAAAATGCCCTTCATGGTGCTAAACTGTCTCAATGGCCCTTAGCATGACAACATTACAACATGACTGTGACACGCAAAGGCAGTTCACAAGGGAATGCAGATGCTTTATCAAGGTTATCAGTAAACTCATAAACAGAATTAAATTATAAAGAAAACTCATTCTCACAACACAAAAGTAAAATACTTCCAGCAGCATTAATTTTATACGTTAATATTAAGTTCTGATAGTGTGTATATGTTATATAATACATATATAATTTACTTTTTTAGTATGTGTTCATTAAATCATTTTATTTTGGGGAGCTGCATATTTTGGAGTTTTCACTACTTATATTTCATTGTTTTGAACAGAAGCTGTGTTGCTTTTTTTTCGGGGGGGGGGGATTTGTTTTTTTCAGACTCTCTCTCTCCGAACTCTGAGCATTATTGTCTCTAAGGTGATGAATGTGCTTCTTGTGGAGGGACTTACAAGGATTGCCAATTATAAATAAAAGAAAGTTGTGCTTTTTCCGAATGGCAACATCAGAAGAAAGGATCATCAATTATACATAAAAGAAAGTTGTGCTTTTCCGGAATGGCAACATCAGAAGAAAAAAAGATGGTGATTTAAAAAATAAAGACACAATAGAGTCAATAATGAATGGAAGCAGATATGAACACTGCTTACCGTATCTTTAGTCAATCTCCTTACATCATCTTTAATTCTTTGTAAATAGTAATAAATTATACTAGTTGTGCTGAAGGTATTTGTTAATCTGAGGAATACTTCTTACGGAAAACTGATTCATATTCAGGTTACACATAAGAACGAAAACTACAAACTAAAAAAACCACAAAAATTTGAACACAGCTGGCTTATTTGCCAGGATTTGAGCGAGGATTGAACTACCAGTATTCAGCAATTTTACCACTCAGATGCTGGTGGGCCTATTTTCTGATACGGTTTAAAACATTCTGACACTCTAATTTTAAAAGTTTTGATAATTTATTACATAAAAATCCGCACTTAATTTTACTACATGCACTGTATTTTTTTACAGATAGGATAAATCTTAAATTTTCACTAATTTGAATATGAATTCAAAACAATTCTCAAAGCATTTTTAATGGAAAATTGTTAACAATACAGTTTTTATAAATACACCTAGATTTAATTAGAAACTTAATGAGTACATAATTAAAACTCTTGAATCTTCTTTTAATAAAATTTAACAAATATATTTAAGTAATAATTAGTCCAAAGGTCTTTGTCCCTGAGAGACTATTGTTTTTGTTTTGTGATTTTGTGTCGAATAACTCTGAATGTCAGTTTCACTTTTAAGTCTGTTGCCACCAAATGTTAGAGTCCTGCATTATATTTTAAAAAATTAAATAATGAAAAATCTGCATAAATGTATGTATATTTCTCGCATTGTGCTAAAACAACGGTACTTAGAGCATCAAATTTTGAATGACGTAATCCTACTGCGAATATGGGCGTCTGAAAGCCCAAATTTGAAATTTGTTTTATTTTCGATTTTGTAAAACTTTAATGAATTTTTGATTAACAAACTCAGGAATTTCAATGTTAGCAATGGTTATGTTGTACAGAAAAACATTTTAATCTCCAGTGTGTAAGCCTGTGCATCGGAAATTCTAAAAAAGATATGCTCAATTTAAAATTAGTTTGCGATATTGCTCTTGAACTGAATTTTATGGTTTAAGTGAACTTTTAAGGTACCATACAAAATGCTTAAAAAACGCCCCTTTTGACGTAATTTAAAATCTGAAACCTTTCAGATTTTCTTTTTTTTTTTTTTATGCATTCTTCTAGAATTTTTTTTAAATAAATCACATACAGGACATCGGAATTTTTCCAAGAATTAACATAAATAAATATTAAATATGGAATGCTAAATTCTTTCCAGAAACTTCATAGTCTATCCTCTCAGGATGACAAGTTGATATCAGCTATCCAAATTTACTAAAATCCCATTGCCCCCTCTTTTTTTAACAATGTTTTCAAAGGACATCAATACAAATAATCTTTTCAAAGCTTTGAGTTAAAAACATTAAACATGTATTTTAGATGAGGATCCGAGAGTTCTGAATGACGAAAAAAGTGCAAAGACTATGTTCATAAATCCTTCTTACAATTCATGAGATTCAAACGCTCCAACCATAATATTTTTTGATTTATTTTATTTCATTAGTGCACTTTCATCTGTGGTATTTTTCCTTCTGCATTTTAATTTTATTCACAGATTTTTGGAATTACATTATGTAGCAATTTCAGAGAAATTATGCCACTAGAAATAAGAAGAAATATGCATGTAATAAAATACAGTACAAAGTCTGTAATCCGGACGTCCATAATCCAGAATGATCTATAATCCGACCTCAAAGCTACAAATTTTATGCGCATGCACGTTTAATGTATAACGGACGGTATAAGCTAGGCTAAAATTATTTAAGGCATTTCAGTTACTGTTGCAGATTGCGCTGTTCCTTAATCTTCTAATTGGATCCGGCTTATTATTTTTTGCAGACTGTTAGAACAATTTTATAAAAATTAAGCTTGCACTTTCGATTATGTCAAAAAGAGTTTCCAATTCTGGAGCTGCCAAAGGATCTACAAAGCGAAAGTATGTTTTCATGTCCATGAAACAAAAAGTGGAATTGCTGCAAAAAATAGATAAAGGCCTATCCGTCTCAAAATTATGCATGAAGTACGGCATTGGAAAGTCCACTATATATGACACAAGAAAAAGGAACTTTTTGAATTTTTTGTGGAAGCATCTTAAACAATTTACATTGAAAGAAATGTTTTATTAAAGTAAACAAATAAATATTAAGCTTTTTTTTAAAATTTTGATGCTCTTTAGATCATAATTGATCTTTATTTCATAAATTACGATTTCATATTTTTAATTGTATCATTTCTGCATGCCATCTTACCAGATTTAAATTGATGGTCTATAATCCGGAAAAACTCCTAATCTGGAATTGCCGAAGTCCCAACGAGTGAGGATTACGGACTTTGTACTGTATCTGAATATAACCTTGACTAAATGTAATTATGAATTCATAATATAGTGAAGATAATACAACAGAATAAAAGAAAGTTAATTTAAATATTTTCAGTGGGATTTTAGAAAAAATAATTATTTTGTGATGTAAAATATATACATGATAGAGCAGTACTGAAAACTGAAGACTATGTACTAAAATTATTTCAATAATTCGGCATTAAAATCATTTTACTGCATTCAGTAAAAAGCATTATGTTTTCCACCACTTTTAGCAAGCTGAAAATGACCAAGTCTCAAGACCGGACACTAGCTGAAATTAAGATAGGATAAATCTTATTGGCTATATTTAAAATAATTTCTTAATTCATAAACTTTAACACATATGCAATTAATTTACATATAAATATATTCTGCACGGTGGTTAACACCCCTGAATACCAATAGTTCGATCTGAATTCAAGCCCAGGTGAATGGGCTGACTGCACTGCTTGTTGATTTTCAGAGTTTTTCCCATGCATAATGTACGAGCCAATTTCCCTCACAAAATCTCCCTTAAAGGCATTCCTCACCCTAAGCAGACAACCTTCTGTGCTTTGCCACATTTGAATAATCTAACCTAACCATATTGAGTCAAAGTTATTTTAATAATAAGAAAAGAACATCTACAAGTTATTTAGCAACAGAAATTAACATCTAAATTGAAAAATTCAAAACTAAATGATGAATGTAGTTTTGGTTCAACTTATGAAAAAGCAAATTTTAAGAAACCTACACAATTGTAACTGTAAGCTATTTAAAATATAGCAGCATGTTTACATAATGTATTTTAGAAAGCACATTAAATAGCACAACTAGCACATTAAGTAAATACATTTAGGAAGTTTGTAAATTTGAAAATCAGGCAAAATTTAACTTTAAATTATTATTAATTTTAGAGAATATGAACTCTGGCTTGATTTGGTGGGATTAGCTTTGACACATCTAACAATTTGTCTCTATGACACACCAGTCCTTCCCCCCATCCTAAATTCTAGGTTTTTCACTTATCTTTTTAACTTAAGTTCTTTCTGATATGTTTTTAAATTTCAACTATCTTAATCCATTTAAAGTTACTGTAAATAAATGATTTAGCTAAACAGTTATGAATTTGCATTTTGTATAGTAGTGAATTCCTTGCTATAGTTAGTTTGCTATAGTGAATTCCTTGCTATAGTTTTTATCATTTATTTCCTTTTAAAATTGTTTTTATAGCAACACATTTATAACATAATACTGGTTCTGCATATTAAATAACAATTTGTCCTTTTAGAGGTGTATGATACAGTATGTATTATTAGCATGGGCTGAAGCAGTTAATAAAGCAATTATGATGAAAAACAAGAAATCAATATAACATTACTTATTTATTATGTTCTAATTATCCACACTCTACATTTTGACATTTAGTAGAATTGTCATGTTTACTATGCAGTTTCAGGAACAAAAACAACAACAGCTAACCTATACATACTTTCCAGCATACAAAAGAATGTGCAGAACAATAGTTAATGTTCTGCTGGGAGACCCAACAAATAAATGAAAATTCTCTACACCTCCCTACTCTTGGATGTTAACAGGAATACTGCCAAAGGGCACCCTGAAATATATTTTTACCCTTTTTCTCATAAAATACGTCATCTGATTATTTTTTACGAAGAAACTAGTACCTGGGAGGCATAAAGATAGCCAAACAAACAATTTTTGAAAGTTCACAACATCTTCACGGAGTCACTACTTGATAAGGTGCAGATAATCAGAAAGAACCCCAAAGTACATTATTTTTGTAACTTCATAACTTAAAAGTTCATAAAATATACAAATCAGGGTACTCTTCTGTTATCAGGACCAGATTCAGAAATGCATGTATGGATGGATGTATTTTAATATATGTATACACACATATACATATGTACAGACTGTGATACTTCTTTGGCAATATGAAGCAACTCCAATGATGGAACACAGCAATAACTTTTATTTAACACTAAAAAAAATGGCGACATACAAACAAGAAGAGAAAACACATTCTATCATTTAAAAATAAATTACATACTTCGTGCGAGAGTCGCACGTGGCACTCGAGTCTGGTTTCAAATATTGCCATTCACAAATACCTTAATGTTCAACTATTTAAATTATTTAATCTACAAGATTTTAATATTATTTAAAGCTGTTACAAGACATACATACACGCCTACATGAACACATATATCCATACATCCACGCAATATATACACACATTCCTGAATCCGATCCCAATAACAGATTCCTCGTTAGAGCAGCAACTGCTCTTAACCCCTTAATGCAAAAATAAGCATTCAAGAAAACATGGTCTTTCTTTTCACCAGTTTTTTTATTTTTTTATTTTATTTATTTATTATTATTATTTTTTTTTTTAAACCTCTTTTGTCATTTTAACTCAAGAAACTGTATCAGATGTATTCTGTTGTATTCATACCTGACAAAACATTTCTTGAATGTATTTATTCGGGTACATGGAAATAATTTAGTTATGTGTACATGAGTTAATGAGATTGAATGCATTAAAAGGTTAATTGCTAAAACTGGCAGACTTAATTGCTCAATCCATAACATGCAAATTTCAAACGTCACCAACAATTCATGTGCTGGCTGCTTTAGAAAGAAGTATCATATTTATAAATTAAAATTTTACCTTTCAATGCTGCATTTTCTTCCAAAAGTTCAACAAGCCGTGCTTGAATTTCAACACTAAGATCTGCTGCAGAAGATGTCATTGCAGAGTGCATGTTGGTCAAATCAAAATTTTCTTCAGGATTTGATGCTGGGATAAAACTGAATTCTGCTGAATCATAAGACTCAGAGAGACCATTCTGATTAGGCAAAACTTCAAATGAAGTCATTTCATCAGAAGAATTTCTAATAAAATAAAAAATAAAAATTAATTTAAACATGTAAAAGTTATTCAGATTATTCACCGCATATAAAGTTACTAAGATTGTGAAATATTATATATACTCAGATAAGACAAAACATAATGGCCATTTATTCAATAATGCACTGCACAATCTTTTGCCTACAAAACAGCTGCAACACATCTTGGCATGGATGCCAGAAGTTCTTGGTAAATGACTGAAGACAGGTTGTACCAAATGTCCAAGAAGAAGTCATGCAAAGTCAAGATAACCTGCCATAGTGGTGTTTGAGCTCTGAACTGCCGCTCCATAACACTTGTCAGATTAAAGATCTGTCAATTTAGGTGGACAGGACATCAACTGAAATTCATCCTTATGCTCCTTGAACCACTCCAATACAACTGGAGCCTTGTGACAAGGGGCACTATCATGCTGGAAGATTCTATATCCAGTTGGAAAGACAGACACCATGTAAAAATACAACTGATTCGCCGTTATGCTCGGATAGTCCACATCTTTCATGGTCTATTCTACCACCCACAAGGTCCTCCAAAGCATAATATCATCACCACCATCCTGTGTATGACCTGCTATCGTCACCACCATCCTGTGTATGACCTGCTGTACAGGAGCAACTGTTCGCCTCGAAGACAGTGTACCTTGACACAACCACAGACATGATGAATAAGAAATCATGATTCATCCAACCAGTCAACTGTCTTCAACAATCCATGGTCGAGACTCAAGTTCTCAGGCCCACTGTAACCGTAGTTGATAATGACACTTGGTCAACAGGGGGACATAACTGGGATGTCAGCTGCACAGTGCAATGTCCAACAATGTCTGCTAAACTGTATATTCTGAAACATGCGCACTTGACCCAGCACTGTATTGGGCTGTCAACTAAGCCACTGCCTGGGGCCAATATTGCTGTACCAAACGGGACAGTCTCCGACATCCTTTTTCTTTGTTAACACATGGATGTTCAACACCTTGGCATCTATTGCTAGTTTCACTGTCATTTATCCAATTTGCATAAATACCAACAATTGCAGATCCTGAACAATCTACCAGGTGTGCAGTTTCGGAGATACTCGTTCTGGGTCTTCGGGCCATTAGAAATCCGCTCTCTATCAAATTTGCTTAACAGCCTTTCCCATCACTCCCAAAAGTACAAGAATGATTCCTTACCTTCTCCAGCAGCAGTTAAATACCATTACTACTTAATCACCTGCCCTCGATGACATCCAGATGACTTCACTAGAAAATGCGGGGATGGTCATAATATTTTGGAAAAAGTGTAAAATATTTGTTAACTTATCTAAGAAATTTAAAGCATTTGCATCCTTTTTTAATGAAATTCAATCTACAAAATCAAAATTCAACTACAGTGTAGTCTTGAATATCCAGGTGTGGATAATCCTGTTTGCAAATTATCCATATGTGGCAATGCACAGGCATGAGCAGGTCTTCTAATAACTCTTGCTGAGGAAGATAAAGATCTTATGAAGTTGTGGAAAAAATTGACCGTATTGGATGCCATATGGAATAGCAAAACGTTGATTGGAAGTAAAACCAATAACAATAGTTCAGTCATGGAGAAATAATAAAAATCAGAAATTTATCTAACTGTGCAGAAGTCAAGGTAATAATGATGTATAATTCTTTGAAATTGAATCCTTTCCAGGAGATGATACAAATGATGATTCACAAACACTTGAAAGAGAACATTGTGAGCAAAATTTTGTTGCCACTCACAAGCGCGATGACACTGAAAGATTTATCGTTAGATTACCCATTACGGAAGGCAAACATTCTAGTTTAGGAGAATCTAAATCAATGGCAGAAAGACGTCTAAATTTGTTCTGGAAAAAAGTGGACAAAAATCAAACTATGCCCATTTTATATACGGCATTAATGGATGAATATCTTACATTAAATCATATGGAAAAGGTTACTTCACTTCGAGAACTGTAGTGGAAATTATTACAGCCCACATCAAGCAGTGTTTCGACCAGAAAGCATTTCTACCCCTTTTCGAATCATGTTTGATGCATCAGCTAAGTGCGCAAATGGAATAAGTCTCAACTCCTTATTACTGAATGGTGGAACTGTGCAGCAAGATATGTTTTCAATAGTAACTTGCTTTCAAACACATACATATGTATTTAGCACAGATATTACTAAAACATACAGGCAAATTCTTGTCGAAGAAAGTGATAGAGAACATCAGAGAATTTTGTGAAAATCATGTTTGTGCTCATCTGTTGAAACTTACAGACTGAGAAAAATTACATATGGTACAACATGTGCCCCATATTTGGCAACTAGAACTTCAAAAGCTTTAGTTGAGGAGGAGCACAGGTGTTTTCCCCTTGCTTCCGCAGTTTTACTTACGGATGTCTATGGTGGATGATATTTTATCAGGTTCAGAAAATTTAAAGAGCACAATTTCTTTGCAATTTGAATTAATAAATCTATTGAACAAGAGTGAGATGAAGTTACATAAATGGGTTTCAAACCATCCAGACTTGTTACACAACAAGGCTACTGAATATAATTTTTTTTCAGATTCCCATCTTGTGAAAACTCTCGGCATGCTTTGGGCATGTAATTCCGATAATTTAACTTCGAGACTCAAGTTCTCAGGCCCACTGTAACCGTAGTTGATAATGACACTTGGTCAACAGGGGGACATAACTGGGATGTCAGCTGCACAGTCCAATATCCAACAATGTCTGCTAAAGTGTATATTCTGAAACATGCGCACTTGACCCAGCACTGTATTGGGCTGTCAACTAAGCCACTGCCTGGGGCCAATATTGCTGTACCAAACGGGACAGTCTCTGGCATCCTTTTTCTTTGTTAACACATGGATGTTCAACACCTTGGCATCTACTGCTAGATAGAGAATATTATGGTTAATATAGAATCAAAGGCAAGTTTCATAAAAAGGGATGTTCTATCTTCCATAGCAAGCCTGTTTGATCCTCTCAGACTAATTGATCCAGTGATTACAAAGGGAAAGATATCTCTACAAAATCTGTGGGGAAAAAAAATTAAAATGGTCTGATCCAATTCTTCCCAAGTAAAGGTTCCTAGGCATGTGATCATTACAAATATCATAATGATTGAATTACATGGATGCGTCAGGACGTGCCTATGGTGCAGCAATCTACATAAGCTCAAAAAAAAAACCAAGGACAGTGGCAAACAACACTGTTATGTTACAAATCTAGAGTATCTCCGATAAAAATACTCAGACTGGAATTATATGTGGCATGGCTACTAGCTCGATTAAATTCAAAGGTCATCTCCATTCCTATTTTAAATTACAGTCCACTGTGTTATAATTGTAATCAAACCTCCGTAACAAGTATTTTGATTTAACTGAGCCAAGTTTTTCAATGCTTGAGTGATGCAGATATTGTTTCAAATGTCACAAAAATTGAAGAGACTAAGAGTGATATGGAGAATACAAACAAAGAATTACTTAGACACGAGACAGCAGTGATGTCTGCTGAAACTCTATTGAATTTTGTCAATCAAAGGGAAAGAAATGTCAATGAAGAAATTGTATTTTGAAAAATATGACTGAAAAATCAACAAATGTTTAAATGTTCTCAAAAACAAAGTAAAATTACTCATTTTTTAAGAAATAAAAACATACAACATGTATGAGAATTGATTGTCTGGATTATCTGTGTTTTTCAATTACTTGTGAATTGCTTTCCTGACATTAGCATGGATAATCAAAAGCCCTACAAATAATAAAATTTATATATGAGTAAAAACTTATAAACTCATAAATTGGATAATTATTCTATTACAGTATTGAATTTCCACAATTATATTTGCAAACTTTACAATACTTTTTTTTCTTAATATCGCTAATACCAAATTTTTCTGTAAATACTTATTAAATCCACCAAATAACGATCTTTTTTATTACAATCAAAAGTTGTTAATCCGGACTCGTCGGGACTTCGGCGATTCCAGATTATAGATCATCAGTTTAAATCTGGTAAGATGGCATGCAGAAATTATAAAATTAAAAATATGAAACCGTAATTTATGAAATAAAGAACAATTATGATCTAAAGGGTATCAAAATTTACAAAAAAAAAAAAAGCTTAATATTTATTTGTTTACTTTATTAAACATTTCTTTCATAAGTTGTTTAAGTTGCTTCATTTTATGTGATAATACTTTCTCTTTAATTCTATAAACAGACATAATTCTTCTTCAGTTACAAAGTTCCACTGTTCAAGTGCTATAATTGCTGTGTCGAGAATACCGAATAATTTGTCAATCGAAATTTTTTCGTTTTCTTCACTATCGGAAGCGAATTATAATGACAAGGAATTTGATTTAATCATATCAAAGACAGAGTACATTGAGATGAAATACTAAATTTAGTAAGGAATTATAAGCCAAATAAAAAAAAACATCTGCCTGAAGATAAGGATAGTGCTGACAGATCAACTTCCAATTCAATGCGCGCCGCAGCCGTAAAGGTCTTACGCGCATGTGTCAATGCAACGCATGCGCAGAAAGTTTGTAGCTTTGAGGTCCAGGTTATAGATAATTCCGGATTATGGGTGTCCGAATTAATGACTTTTGACTATATTTATTCTATTATGTTTCAAATTATTTTTCATATTTAAATAGTCTACCTGCAACCTCCCAATATAATTTATACAAAAATTATACACACTTAAATAATACTATACAGTCAAAAGTCTTTAATCCGGACGTCCATAAACGGGAATCTAATCCGAACCTCAAAGCTACAAACTTTCTGCACATGCGTAAACATATAATGCGTTTACGGAGCGCATAATATGTTTACGCGTGTTTAATGTATAACGGACGGTATAAATTAAGCCAAAATTATCTAATTATCTATTTCAGTTAATGTTGCAGATTGTGTTGTCCCTTAATCTTCTAATTGGATCCGGCTTATTATTTTTTGCAGACTGTTAAAGCAGTTTTATAAAAGTAAGCTTGAACTTTCAATTATGTCAAAAAGAATTTCCGATTCTGGAGCTACCAAAGGATCCACAAAGCGAAAGTATGTTTCGATGTCCATCAAATAAAAAGTGAAATTGCTGCAAAAAATGGATAAAGGCCTATCCGTCTCAAAATTATGTGAGAAGTACGGCATTGGAAAGTCCACTATATATGACACAAGAAAAGGAACTTTTTGAATTTTTTGTGGAAGCATCTTAAACAACTTACATTGAAAGAAATGTTTATTAAAGTAAACAAATAAATATTTTGCTTTTTTTTTTTTTTTTTTTTTTTTTAAATTTTTATACTCTTTAGATCATAATTGTTCTTTATTTCATAAAATACGATTTCATATTTTTAATTGTATCATTTCTGCATGCCATCTTACCAGATTTAAATTGATGATCTATAATCTGGAAAAACTCCTAATCTGGAATCGCCGAAGTCCCAACGAGTGAGGATTACGGACTTTGTACTGTATCTGAATATAACCTTGACTAAATGTAATTATAAATCCATAATATAGTGAAGATAATACAACAGAATAAAAGAAAGTTAATTTAAATATTTTCAGTGGGATTTTAGAAAAAATAATTATTTTGTGATGTAAAATATATACATGATAGAGCAGTACTGAAAACTGAAGACTATGTACTAAAATTATTTCAATAATTCGGCATTAAAATCATTTTACTGCATTCAGTAAAAAGCATTCTGTTTTCCACCACTTTCAGCAAGCTGAAAATGACCAAGTCTCAAGACCAGACACTAGCTGAAATTAAGATAGGATAAATCTTATTGACCATATTTAAAATAATTTCTTAATTCATAAACTTTAACACATCATGCAATTAATTTACATATAAATATATTCTGCACAGTGGTTAACACCCCTGAATACCAGTAGTTCGATCTGAATTCAAGCCCAAGTGAATGGGCTGACTGCACTGTTTGTTGATTTTCAGTTTTTCCCATGCATAATGTACGAGTCAATTTCCCTCACAAAATCTCCCTTAAAGGCATTTCTTCCCCTAGGCAGAAAACCTTGTGTGCTTTGCCACATTTGAATAATCTAACCTAACCATATTGAGTCAAAGTTATTTTAATAATAAGAAAAGAACATATACAAGTTATTTAGGGGGGGGAGAACATCTCGTTGCGCAATGAACTGGAAGTTTATCTGTCAGCACTATCCTTATCTTCAGGGCAGTTTTTATTTTATTCGGCTTATAATTTCTTATTAAATGTAGTATTTCATCTCGATGTATTCCGTCTTTGATATGATTTAAATCAAATTTCTCGTCATTATAAATATCACGAATATATATCAAATAGTTTTCTGGTTGCAATTTTCTAATTTTGACTATGCATAATGTTTGCTTTACGCATGTGCACGTTGAAAGAAATGTTTGATAAACTAAACAAATAAAAATTAGTTTTTTTTTTTTTTTTTTTTTTGTTGTTGTTGTTAATTTTGATACCTTTTAGATCATAAGTGCTCTTTATTTCATAAATTGCGGTTTCATATTTTTAATTTTATAATTTCTGCATGCCATCTTACCAGATTTAAACTTATGCTCTATAATGTGGAATCGCCGAAGTCCTGACGAGTCTGGATTAGACTTTTGACTGTAGAAAAATTCAAACTAGAGCTTTAATCCTTCTGTTGGAATAGTTACTTTTCTCCATTTGCTTTAAGTACAGTTAATACAGCGTAATGTGATCATTCAAATGCTAGTATCGATTTTCCAAAGTCCCACCATTTGCATATGAAAACATGGAAAATACATCATTTATTTAATTAACAATTCCATTACAATGATCAAACTATTACAGAATAAATTTTTCAAACTAAAATCGTTAAATAACCTTAATTCAACAAATAAGGTCAAGACAGACCTTTAAAATCACCAATTAACAAAGAAACGTCCTAAAGTGGCAGGTTAAGTCACCAAACAGCTTGATTTTAAGTTCAGTCAACCATTTAAAAGCAGGAAAAAAGCAAAACAACTTGATTTTAATTTCAGTCAACCATTTAAAAGCAGGAAAAAAAGCAATCTTAGTTTGACATACACTTTGACGGTGATCAGACACACATCTTTCTGCTTCAGGAGGGGGAAAAAATGTTTTTCTTTTCACTCGAAAAGAAATTCTCTGTAAGCATCTAGAAAATCATCTTTGACCGATGCTGTGATTAAGAGTACAGCATCGGTCAAATTTTATCTACAAACATTATGAACCGTTCATAAATGAATTTTTGCATTAAAAAAATTAGGAACCATTTATAAGCAAACAATTTGCATTTTCCTAATTAAAATGCTGTAAAAATACCGATTTATTGCTTTAGTTATATTTATATTAAATTCCATTGCTATTTTGAAAGGTATTTTTTCTCATTTAATATTATTGTTCAGTTAATGCTATGAAAATAGATGTGGACAAATGTGACCATGTTAACCAGCACTTACTGTATAGAAAAGTACATCACTTTCAGCATTGCAGACTGGAAAATACAAGCACATTATTGAAATATTAAACTTTGAATTACTCCTCAATTTTGCTAGTCTTCTAGAATGCAAAATAAGTCATTTTCCTGCCCATGTCAGTACCATTAAATAGTTTCAATACCAAATGACCTTTTACTAAGTTAAAAAATATGCTACTAAGTGAGGAAAATCTGTTTTTATACACTATAAGTGTGAAAACATCATTCATTTAAACAGAAACCTAGTACTATGACATTAATTATGTTAAAAGAATGTGTTCTGTTTAATATAAACATTTCAGCTTCAAATATGGAAATATAATTTTTATTTAGATGTAGTAAAGTTTTTTCTGTTATTGTTTCTTATCTGCAATCTTTTTTTAACTATACAACCTCATTATTTGCACGGGAATAACTACCCTAATCATACATGGCAATTAACCTTAATCTTTTACAATTAACATTTTCTAAATAAGCTGAAGAAACTAATGTATAAACTTAAATTTGTTATTACATGCTTTAACTATACTCTTTGCAGTATACTTAGTCTTCTTCTTCAATAAATATTAATTTTTCGAAAAATTAAACATTTCCTCATATAATAAATCTTCATTTTAATTATTTAATGCGCTTATTTCTTTTATAATGTTTCTTCATCAATAATTCTTTCACAATCAAAAAAATTATTATACAGTAAAAAGAACTATCCAGTTCCCCCTAACAATTTTCTTTTATAAAATCATCTAAAAGGTGAATGAAACCATCTGACTGTAATCATGTACACTAGAAACTCATATACTACATACAACCTTCATGCAGAAAAGGGGGGGGGGGAACTGAAGACATGGAATAAATGTCAATTAATATGAAGCAATTTTGCATGAGTGTCATTCTGAGCCAGACCTGTACACAGAATTACTAATACTTTTAAAAAGACGTTTTTGTCCACTAAATCAATTTCTTCAAGTTAAATAATGTTATTAATAATGAAATAATGTTTTTTTTTTCATACTTAAGACATTACACACAATTGCTTACGGTTTTTACATTTATTCTCTGTATAACATTAATATATTTACACAATAATGCATATTTATTCATGTTTCCAAATACGAGGGTAATAAATAATAAAATTACAAACGAATTTCATTTTGCATTACAATCATGAAATTCACCCTGACATCGTAACAGATTCCTCCAATACTTGTAAAAATATTTAAAAAAATTCAATTCGCATTGCAGTCATAAAAATAGCATAAATAGTATATGCTAATAAAATAGGATGTCTTGCACTAAGAACTAAACGTTTCTAATTACAATCAAGTAAATTAAGTAGATCAAAGATTTGTATCTTTGATATACATAATGTCGTATATAGATTTGTTATAAAATGCTACGAAATGCTTGATGCATATTACAGGTCTTTACAAATGCTAGGATTTCTCTAGATCATATGATCTTGAGGCAATGGGGAGAAAATATTGCCTTCTGACATCAAGGTTACTCATTATTACAGCAATAAATTATATATTTTTTGCATCCATGCATTATTTTACATGTGACAATAAAATGCTAAGTTCTGTCTAATTCATCAACATTATTCAAAACACCAGATCTTAAAATGATAAAAAAAGCGGATACAAACTTTTCCCACATGAAAAACGAACGGCAATCAGATATTAGAAAAACATAACAATCATAATCAATAAGCGCTTACTTCCTTGTGCTGTAATGGTGCAACAGTAGAACAGCTACGGTTTTTTTGTGGTGCTGTCATGTGAAATGCATATTTATTTCATTTTATTTGTTTTTCATCGTTGCCGGTTTTTGCCGGTTGCATATTTCTGATTTCTATTATATATAGATGTTAAATTTATTTATTAAATGTTAAATGCACGTGCTCTTGTATTTTTAATTTTTCCGGCTTAGCTTTCTCATAATATTCGTCACGCGCTGCACTGCACGAGGAATAAAACAATTTACAGTTACGCAAGCAACCAATAAACTATCGGCGACAAACAGATTTTAAATTTAATTATTAAATGTTAAATGCACGTGCTCTTGTATTTTTAATTTTTCCGGCTTAGCTTTCTTATAATATTAGTCACGCGCTGCACTGCACAGAGAATAAAACAATTTACAGTTACGCAAGCAACCAAGAAACCATCGGCGGCAAACACTTAAGCCGCTTATATATATATATATATATATATATATACTAGAAAGCCCAGCGGTCATACGAAATGACCGCTGTTCTAGATATTATAAACTGCAATTAAAATTGTGCAAAAGTGTCTGCTAATTCAAACTGAATTACCCAGGACAGGCGTAGAGGACGCCCCTTTGCTTACTGTCCCACAGGGTTTCCCTCTTCTATTTGCTTAATTGCTTAAAATAGAGTGCAATGAAGGAAATCATTGGCGGTACATTACTAAAGAGCCACCGCTAGCTCAATAAAGAAAGGGATTTAAACAATAAAAGGTTATTTCACATGGTAAAGATCTCTTTGTGCACAACATTCCTTGTGCAGATCTTTCCACCTTTTTTAAGCTCGCCTTGCAGAAGACCATCAATAATTTTTAATTTTACGTCCGTTCTTTCACGAACTCAAGAACAGGCAACATAAAGTTGACCGTGTCCAAATTCAGGTAAAAAAATGCCAACAAGCTTAAACGTTTGGCCCTGAGACTTATTGATGGTCATAGCAAGGGCAAGTTTTACAGGAAATTGTCTACGTCTCAATTGCAATCCTGTGCCGTGGCAACTTCACCCTATTGGCTAGTACAGTTACGCAAGAAACCATAAACTATCGGCGGCAAACAGACACTTAAGCCGCATATAAGATGATACAACATTATATATATGTATATATATATATATATATATAGATAGATAGATAGATAACCCTCCGAAACGGCTGGGTCCCGGGCTTAGCGAAGCACATCGTTGGATTCCGCAGGTCCGTGGCACGCCATTTTGACCATTCGCGTCTTCGTGGAACGTCAGTTAGCCGAGATATTAATTAAATGCTAACTTTTCCCTACGTTTTCCTTTTCCTTTCTTGGGTTTTCCCTAGTAGAGGGATTTGGCTAGGTGCCAAATTCTTTTTTCTCGAATATCTACGGAACGGCGCCGAATTGAAATCCTCGGGTATCCTCGGATTCCAAAACGTTCTCCGAATCCATCGATACCGTTCTCATCTTCGTACGACTTTAATCGGCCCAGATATTAATTAAAAACTGCGAAAACGATACTTTCCGCCCTCATTTCTCCAAGTGGCAACAATAAACTATCGGCGACAAACACTTAAGCCCCTTATATATAAGACAGATTGATTATGCTGGCTTACAATCATAAATTTTGTGCATTCTGAGTTATAATATGCAGATAATTCTTTAAATGATAAATTTTGTGCATTCTGAGTGATTAATAATATTACGACTTTTTGTGCATTCTGACTTATGATATGAAGGATGAGATGTAAGTTTCTGTCTTGCGACGACGACTGTTCTTGATTTTTAGTAAATATTATTTTTGCTTGTTCTCCTCGATATGGGCAGTAATAGCGAACCACCAGATAGAGGCAAAATTCCTTGGCATGCTACTTTCAGCGATTATGATAGCGATAATGATTCTACTTATTCGAATTACTCAAGAAAATCGACTACATCCAAAGAGATGCCTGTAATTGCTTCAGATGACCCGGCGCTTCAAAGTATACTAATTTCTACTAAGAAAAGTAAATCTCAGAGAAAAGAAAAGAAAACCGCAGGAAGTCCTAAGAAAATAGCTGATAATACTAAGAAATTCAAACCCTCCCCTTCAAATTTTGAAGCAGTTGTTAACAAACACAGAAAAGTTTTTCCTAATTTAACAGAAGCTATCTCGCAAGAATATTTTAATACTCAGCTTCCGACTAACCCAAAAGATCTCTCACTCAAATTAGAAAACGAAATCGCCGATAAATTAAACTGTATTGAGTCTATGAAGACATTAACCTCCCCACCAGCGATAGAAATGCGTTCAAAGTTACAAGAAGAAATTCAACAAAATCAGTTCATTTTAGCAAGCATTCAGAACACTCCGAAGCTCGCAAATTTTAAAACAGACGATAAAAACAAGAAATCAGAAGGATTGGCAAACTCCAAAGAAAACCGCGAAAAATTCCGAGTCTATCCCACCAGCAGCTATTCCGCAAAATAACAGATTTGAAACTCTTAACGAAAATATGGAAGTTACAGATGAAACGCAGATGACTACAACACAGAATAAAGCAGAAAATAAAACGAAAATTTCCCCATTTGTCATTCCAGGAAACGATGTTGATTGGCCTGAAATAGACAAAATGATCAGAGAAATATGTAAAAACTGAATTTGGAAGTTGCAATCAAAGCCAGACAGATTTTCCTTTACACTACCACCGAAGCCGATTATAAAGCTACAGTTGATAAATTCAAGAAAGCACAGATTAGTTTTCATACGTACCAAATTTCCTCAGCCTCTTCAATTAAAGTTATACTTAAGAATATCCCAAGATCCTACACAGAGCAAGCAATTCATGCAGACTTAGAACGCAGAAGCTTCCCTATAATTAAAGTAAAGCAATTCACGAAGAAAGCAGAAGACCAAATTATCCATTTACCTATATTTTCCCTTGAACTAAAAAGAAATTCTGCAGGAGAGAAAATTCATCAATTAAACTATGTTCGGATTCAATATCACAATAGAAAAATATCAGCCCAGAAAACGCCCAATTGAATGTTTCAATTGTCAGAAGTTCGGGCACTCCCAAAATAACTGCTTTAAAAAGGTCAGGTGCTGTAAGTGCGGACAAAATCACAGATCTAATACATGTAAATTAAAACCAGATGAAAAACCAACTTGCATTTACTGTCACGAAAATCACGTTTCTTCTTATCGTGGTTGTAAGGTATACAGAAAAAGATTCAATCATTTACAGAAGATAGAAAAATCACAAGAAATTCCCACTAAAGATGACTTCCCCGAATTTATTCAAGCTTCAGGCCAAACTAATCAAGAAATGCCTAAAAACCTTTACAGTGACAAAGTTAAGCAGAAAAACCCGCAGGAAAATTTAGCAGAAATCATTAATATTTTCAAAGATCAGAAAACCCTTTTTCTCATGAAATCAATAACCACAATAGTTCAGAGAATTAAATCAGCTAAATCAAATATGCAGAAACTTTGCCTAGCTTTTCAAGCCATTGAGATGATTCTGAACTTTGCAGATAAAGATTAATTCGCCGCTTCTCTCAAGACAAGCATAGCCGAGCGGCAGAAATTCTTCAAGTTGCAGATCCTCACATCTTGGAGCTACGTTTACTTCTCTTCTAGAGACTCTGCACTAGGTGCAAGAAGTACGTTCCATCTTACTTCTTACTGGATTCAACTCATCATTAAAGACACCCTACTTATAATATATTGGTAAAGGCCGCACTAGGCCGATTGCCTCTTAATTGTGTTATGACATAGACATAGCTGGCTTACAAATTTTAACTCATAAATATAATTTTTAAATTTCTTTATTAATATTAGAAAAATAACATATATGCACTATTAGTCAGAATTCTGAGAAATTTTCAGTAATAATGTAAATTTTATATGAGTATAGAACTTACACTCGCTTAAAACTTTACACTCGCTTACACTCGCTTAAAAGTTACATTTTAAGCGAGTTACACTCGCTACATTACTTACACTCGCTTACATTACTTACACTCGCTTAAAAGTTACATTTAATTTTGTGTTACAAAATAATCGATTTCAGGGCTCAAAAATAAAAAATATGATTTTTTTAGAAAAGTATAATTTGATTACTTTTAAAGTAGGTCATTTTAATTATACATTATTTTCCAATCTTGAAGAGGGAAAAGTCAGCTAAATATAGTGATCAGTTTATCTATAATATGCCCGCAGTGTGTAGTACAGTTTTATGTTAATAACGAAGAAGGTATTTTATTTTCATTTTGCTTAAAATATATTAATATCCGGTTTATAAAATAAAAGAACAAATACAATATCAGGGATAATGAAATAAGTATACAAAACATCGTTAGTTATAAATATATTCAATCATATTCTGATTGTTAAAATATGCCAAAAATGTAAATATTTTTAAGCTCAATATATTGTTGCTTGTATACGGGCTCGTAATAGATTAATTGCACACAGAATCGATGAGAACCTGATAAAAATTATTTTACCAAAATAAACACTTTACAGGTCTGGAACTTTCCACAAAAACACTCGCATAGTTCTTTTCATTATCACAGAGTGCAATCTGTAGTTACTCTTCAAATAACTAAGATCGTTACACACAAACGCAATGCAAAGCGCATCTCAAAGGCGAAGCTCATAATATTCTCAGTACTCCGAAGTCAAGTCTGAGCTAAAAACGGAGAACTGATGCGGGCTGATACAGTTTTACCCCGGCCGCCGAGAAATCTCTAGTACCATTCAATTTTTCGAATTTCCTGAAAGGCATATACTGTTAAAGTTATATTTAGGGTTCGGATACGGCTACAATTACATATAGGGATCAATTACAGTACCGATTACAGTTATGCAGGAACCAGACCAAAAATCTCGCCAAATGTTCGTCAAGTCAGAATCAGAATCATCCCTTAAGAAACGGGGCCCACCAGCGGCCGAGTGTACACTGGTACACTGGTAAGTCGCTGAACACTGGTAGTTCGGTCCGAGGTTCGAATCCCGCGAACGGGCTGGCTGCATGGGTGTTTTCGTGGTTTTCTCCATGTGTAACGTGTATACGAGCCAGTTTCCCTTAGAAAGTCCTCCACGAAGGCATCCCTTCTTTTAGGCAGATAGCCCTCGAGGCTTTGCCGTAATTAGATAACCTAACCCTTAAGAAACGGCACTAACTACACAGAGTTTTATCCATTAGATCAGGTGAGGCTTTGGCAAATCACAGTTAATTTTTGAAATAAACGGATGCATGAGCACCGCCGCCCGCAGGCGAGAAAAAGGGTCGTAGGTGGCTAATTCATGCAGGTCGAACGTGAAAAGTCCTCTCAGCATCTGCAAAGTCTTCACTAAAAACCCAGTCAGCGTTGAATTGCCGAGGCCAGTCACATGGGAAGTCACCCTCGCATGAATTGACCCCGCAAGAGGCAGCTTGAAAAGGTGGAATTGTGAGAAAGTAGAAAAAAAAAAATTTGTTTTTTAATGACTTTAGTCCTTGAGTACCAATATTTAAAGAGGGAAACTCAATTAATCCTCCGTTTCTGCAAATTTCAGGATGCACATGGCTGCTTTAAAACCGACCGAAAATTTCTCTGCAGTGCTTTTAACATTTCTGATTTTGTCAATATGCTCGATTACGCTGCTGAGGAAATATCGAATTTTTTCGTCTTCAAGCCACACTAAAGCTTCAGTAGCTTCTTTAGGAACAGCTAATCTTTTCTGTCTCACTTTCTCGCTGTACTGCGTTCAAGTTCGCTGGCTTCCTTCTTTTCTGGATTTCCGAGTTCCGGAAAGTCTTCTTTACTCCTGGTGAAGGCATCTGGCTTTTAGAACTCAAACTTCTTCTCAAACTTCTTACGATACTGCACACAACCACGGTAGCTACATGTTCATCAAATGTGGTGAATTATGACAATTTATCTCCAAATTCGAAGACGAAAATTAGTCGCCAAAATCATCGCCAGCTTAGCGATATCTAGCCAATTTAGCAAGATAAGCGCTTACCTCAATGCTAAATAAACTTACCCATGCAATCTTATTTTTACGGCAGCGCTCCGTCTCTTCAGACTTTTCATATTACATTATACAAAAGATACTACAATTTCACAAAATTATTTACATATATACAAAATTCGTAGCAATATCTATAACCGTTAGAAATAAGTATGTCGTTCAAAATGTGTTACTTTTTTGTCATAACTTTGATACTGTAAAGATACATGATGTACCTGCTTTAAAAGTGCTAATGTTCTTTCTAATTATTTTTAATCTAATACTAAGCTGTCAAAATGATATATCCAATTATGAGATGTTGCTTTATTAACTATTTTAGCAATTTAGTTAAAAATTTAGCAATTTAGTTTAAAATTTTCTTAATTTATATCTAGATGTGTGCATGTAAAAATTTAAATATTTATATAGGTGAGAAAGAACTTAATAAATAATTAAAAACATAATTAATTATTTTAAATATTTTATTACGATGTAAATAAACAGGGAAAATATAGAATATATAAGCTTTTCTTAATAAAAAACACTACAAAAACATATGCTTTTGATAAAAAAAAAATATGAATTTCCGCATTACTTACCGATATAATGCAATTTTCATACTGATGGATACGCATTTTTACGTCTGTTTTTAAATTTCTTACTGTTTTAATAAAATGATGTTTCTAATAAACGACAATAAACTACTCTAGATCAGTGAAAGAACTGCTTCAGAGCAAAGAATCGGAAAACATTAACATACATTTTTATTTTAGAGTAGTGTTTCTAGGACTTCAAAATTAGAGTCAGTAAATATAATCATTGCGTGATAACGAATTTAAAATTCGAAATGTGTCAGTTATTCCCCAATTCTGCCTCATTACAATGTCTAGTAACATGACATATTTTCTGTATGAAGGTGCTTTACACACGTTACATACACCTACTATATTTTAATAATTTTTTACACATTGAACTAATTGCATTTTCAATTTATTTTGAGTGTTTTAGTTCTCTTCACACTTCTATTTCAGAAACAGATTCCCTTAATTTATTTTCTAAACCCCTTTTTATGTTGCCCTAGAGAGCTTTCCGTTCATCTTACTGTAGTAATTCCACAGTAAATAGCTTTCATATAAATATCTTCCATTTATTGCAGCTAGAACAAAATTATTGTAAAATACTTGATCAGTCGACGTTTAGAAGATGGTTTTATTGGAAATATTTTACCATTCATCTGAGCATTACAGTACATTTTTTACTATTTTATAATACTGTTATTTCTGGAAATCATTTCACATGCGCAGTTTACTTCTTTTGAATATAAGAATGATCAAGTAAAAGGTACGTTTGTTTAACATTCTTTGACATATGGTCAATATTGTATCGTGCCATTACAATATACAAGAAAGGCTTGTGTTATTACAGTATGATATACATTATAATACAATATTTTATAACACTTAAGAAGTGAAATTCAACTTGAACAAGTTTCTTTCCCTTTTGTTTTTATACTTCTCTTCTGGAGAGCTTCATTCCAACTAAGCTTGTTTTTTTAAATGTGATTTGTAAATATCAGATACATTTCCTTAGCAAACATATGATGAGGTAAATGTTTTCTTTTGTGTAGGATTTATTTGGGCAAAAGAAGCTTTTACACATTTGTTATAACTCAGTTTAATGCGTTGCATATTTCTGTGAAGTGTGGTAATATCAGTTGTTTGGAAAAAGGATTTATTTAAGTACCATTTATTTTCTTTCATTGTTATAAAGCTTATTTACGATGAATAAATATATTTTGTTTAAAATTCGGAACAACTTGAATCTGAACTATGTTGTTTTTAAAACTGTATATGCCGCTTGTGTGAGTAGTTTTAGGAAAGTCACACAATTTCACTCAAGAAACTAAAATGTTTTGGGAGATCTAAAAATGCAAATTTTATTAGCAGTCAGTTTGATTGCTATCAAGGTTATTCTATGTGAAATCGAACCAGTTACGCAGAAATTTTATTGAGTATTTATTTTTCGTGTAGTAAAGGGAGTCTTTGTTGAAGTTTATTGCATGAATGTTAAGCAACACCAAATTTCGTATTATGAATACTTCTAATTTAAAATTGGTTTTGATTTATATTTTCCTTTATTTCCTTCAGATATACTGTCCATCGTTCTGCCATGATCTTGTTTTAATAATACAGATATTTCTCGGATACCATCGATGTTTCTGAGAATCCCGCTGATACTGGTTATGCCCTTGACAGAAACTTCAAGCTAACTGAAAATGAATACTTCTGTCGATTTCTTGCACCTATGACAACAAGCATCTGATAAGAGTAAAAAAAAAAAAAAAAAAAAAAAAAAGTACTGCGCTTTTTTAAGGTCTAATCTTCCTTGTCGAGTATGTTTTGGCTGAGACTCCGGTTGAAAAGAAGGAACTACAAAAATAAACAAATAAAAATCTGTCCCATTTCCTTTCCCTTGAAGATGGGAAAAAATAAAAATCTCAGTTTATCTAAACTGTGGTTATCAGTGGAGTGGAGTTCAGAGGTCATATTGGAAGTGGATTCAATGAGCCCCCATGCGCCAATACTGAAGGGCAGCTTGCGAGCTTCGTTTAGAAGTAAAGTTGGTTGGGGTCTTCATACAAACATTTAAATCTGCAAATTTATTGACGGCGAAAGATGGGAATGGTGGTTGCTATTACCGTCATCGCCGGATTAATCTCCGTCATCAGCGCTGTGGGTAAGTGATTTAAGTCAATTTACTTATTTTGGGTATATATAATCATAGAATTTACCATGTATATTATCACTGTATTCGAAAGTTTCCAAGGCTATCTTGCAGGAAGCCATTACTTTTATTCCAGTAGCAGTTAATAAGAGTAGTAGGTGCTATAATTTCGTTCTTTACTATAGTACAAATTCGTTTATTTGAACTAGTTGACATGGAACACTTCGGAGAGTATATATCTTTTTACCCGTATTAGAGACGGGGACATAGAAGACATTTGTAACAACTAAAGTTAGCGTCATGTAGCAAGAAAGCACTGTTGAGTAAAAGTTTATGTAACACTATATTTTGGAATATACATATTACAATAAATGCATATGCTATATGTTTTAAAGCAATGAACAATATGAATGATCTAATTTTGAGTTCTTCCTCAAAGAACATAGTGCCTATTTACTTCCCCCTACCGTTTGACGAATATCACTTTGTTTAACGAAATGTAAGACAACTGGAAATAATAATATAATTCCTTTTTCTGTATACGTATTGCCGTATAATAAAATAGTACTTCCTTCTTTTTAAACCATAACTTCTCAGATTTTTCCTTTGAATCACGCTTTCCCTTTAAAATATTTCTAAACACCTCTAAGAGTTTTTCTTTTTTAATCATTTTCAGTAAGTGGATTCCATGTCCTGCAAAAATAAAAGTAGTGCCACGTGTGGGAAATATTTGCTTCAAGCTTTGTACACATGTGAAATAAACGCTTAATTATGTCTTGAAAAAAAAAAAAATGTTCGCTATTAAATAAGAGCTAAGTCTCCACGTAGCGACAGTGTATGATGAATTAATATTGCGAGTTTTTTTGTCCTGCGTTTTTTTTTTTTTTATTGCTATGTTTAACAACTCTTTTTAAATATCTGAATTTATGTTTCCATCTTGTATTGTTGAGGATTAATTCTTGAATTAGTAGATTAATTTTAATTGTTTAATTCAAATTTGCTTAAGTTTTTTAAATCAGTATACGAATATTAAATTGCAACTTTTAAATTTTTTGAATTGTTTTTGTTATAATATTGAAATTTAAATGCTAAACTTTATGAGATGCTAGGCTGTATTTTAAATTTTGAAATTGCAATTAAACTAATTATTTAACTAATTTACCGTTTATTCGTGGCAGCCAATATATGCTAGATATTCATTTGAATGTGATCTGCTGATTGACTGAACAAACGTTGAAATTTTTATATATATTGCACTTGCAACGCATTGAACTAGTAATTAAAATTCTTCATGAAATTAAACAAATTTACTGTGACTACAGATTTCGTACATATTCATAGTTCTGATAAAACTATGAATATGCACGAAGTAAAGTATGTAAAAGTACGTACGAAGAAAGTATGTTAATAAATCATAAAAAAATGGGTGAATTTTATTTGGAATGAACCTGAACTTCGAAATAGGAAAGGAAGAATCAAATAAGTTTAATAAAAGAAAGAGAGATTAATAAATATATGCCAAATTCAATTAATATTGAGGAGCTAAAATTTTGAGAGCTAATTTTTTAAAAACTACTCGTGCGATTTTTACAAAACTTGGTAGTTTGGCGTAATTTGTGTCGTAGAATTCAAATATGGAAAACAAATTGGCATGTCATTTCAGAAAAAGCCCGATTTTACGTCAAAATACCTATATTAGAACAACTAGATATAAATCTAATGCATATCGTAAGTCGGGCTTTCGAGACATGAAAAACGCAATTTGAATTTCGTCAATCGGCCCAGTAGAATGGGAGATATAATACTGTCCCATTTTTTATTTTTATTTATTTATTTTTTTAGTCCGAATGGAGCAATTTGTCCTGAAGGAGTATAATTTTCTTTTTGGCATTTCGCGTTGGTTCTTTATAAATGTCCGTTTCACTTGCCGCCAAATTTTATTGCCCTGGATTATATTTGAAGAAATTAAATAATAGAGAATCTGCATAAATGTATGTAAGTTTCTCGCATTGTTATAAAGCAATGGTACCTAGAGCCATCCAATTTTGAATGACGTAATTATCCTGCGAATATGGGCATGTGGAAGACCAAATTTGAAATTTGGAATTTGTTTTATTATCGATTTCATATTTCGTAAAGCTTTAACGAATTTTCGATTAACAAACTCAATGTTTTCTAAGCGAGCAATGGCAACGTTGTACAGAAAAAACATTTTTATCTACAGCGCGCGAGTCTCTGTATCAGAAATTCTAAAGATATGTTCATTAAAAAATTATTTTGTGATATTGCTGTTGAACTGAATTTTATGTGGTTAAGTGCGAAGAACGTGATATCTAATAAATAAAGGTAGCATACAAAATGTTAAAAACGCCCCTTTGGACGTAATTTAAAATCTGAAACCTTTCGGATTTTTTTGTATTAATCTTATTTTCTGTTTTGTGTTTTTTTTTCGCAGTGTACATTTTTGATATATAATATATCATCATTTAAGATTTATTGATTATTATTACTTTTATTGAAATTAATAAACAAATTCTGTTTGGCATTAATAATCAAATTTGTATACATTTAATATCTCTTTTGTCAGCAGCAACAGATCGCTATTTGAAAAACCCTTTGTAGAAAAACGCTGCTGTTTACTTATTATTGCAATGGAACAGGTTTACGATTTCCCTCCAGGTATTTTCATTCGATTTAAGGTCATAGCCAACCTGGATGACCAACCCGTCCGTGACATCAATTACTTATCTCCGAAACCACTGTTTTGTCCATTCAGATGCATGGCATAAATGATTATTTCTTTGAAACATGCAATTATTGCCGCTTAATAATGTCCCAATTTAAATTCATTATTGAGAGTGTATAGTTTGATAATATATGAGCGTGTACAATAATGGTCAAGACAACGAAAGTTCTGTTATCGTATCCAAAACATTCTCCTATCCTTATTTCACCCCTGTTTACTGAAACATTTCTCCAAGTATTAAGTTCCGAATTATGTTAATAACATGGATTCTCATCAGCTCTCTCCAGTACATTTTTTTTTTCATCTGATAAAATAACCGTTTCTCATTTTTATGAGCGTGTCATTATAGTAGTCGGATGGTTAATCGTTTAGCTTTTTAATTAACTTTATAAAATTTTATAACTTTATAAAAATGGTCTCTGTCTTCATTTTAACATAGTTAACTCAAAAGTTATATTAATTTCGCATCATCAGAGATAGAAACAGAAGTGCTGCTAGATGTGTCCAGGTACTGTAAAAACCACCTAACAATACTAGCTACTGTAAAAAACACCTAGCACCTTTCTTTCTATAAAATTTCAATCATAAGTAAATTTTATCTCAGAAAATCTTAAATCAATTTCCAAATATAGTATGTTATCAAAAATTGCATTGTCCCTTTTATTCGGATTTCTAGCTTGTCCTTATAAAGAACAACATTACATAAATACTGAATTGAGACAAAAGAATGACTGGATTATGGCAATCTACACTAGGACCTGGACTTTATCTGCATAAGGAAAGGAATATTTTCATAAAGGACTTCCTAAGAAACGCTGATCCGTATTTATATGCCAAAAACGTCAATGCAACCAGTTTGTTTGCTAAGATTTAAACCTGTATTGAACTACTAGTGTTCCCCGATCTTACTAGTCGGCCACTAGTAGGCATGAAAGAATAAAATAAATGAAGTAAGTGTCTTTCAAATTAGGAAATACTTTGATAACATTTTTTAATGTTCAAAATATGTTAAAGTATTCGAAACAGAGGAATAATTAAAAAAATTGGCTTAAATAAATAAAAAATAAATAATTTGCAAGTAGCTCAATGAATCGTAAACAATGGCTTTCACTTTCATAGATAAAAATAGCTAAAACCAGGAAGAGAGATTGAGAAAAGAATATTCTACACACCCTCCAAACGTAATTGAATGAAAACGAAACAAATGACGAACGAACGAAACAAATGAATAAGAAAAGAAGATTCTAATGTATTAGAAATTACCGGAATTTTTGGAAATAAAGAAAGTCGCAAGAATAATAAAGTCGCAAGAATGTTTCTACTTATATGAGTGATTTTCCAAAGTGCATCAAATTATAAGACACCAAAAATGTTGTATGAATAAGAACATTATCAAAAAAGTATTTTATATTACGCTGATGTACATCAGTGGTTTCAACTTCCAACTGCATGCAAACCAAATGCCCGATGTGAAAACAGCTGACGGGCCAGATACATTTTTTAACAAAATGAAGAATTTTATTAATAAAATAAAACTATTTTAAATAAATTTTAAGGTTTTGCATACTAAATATTTATCAAAACACACATAAACGACAATAATAACATCGCAAAGGGGAAAAAAATTCAAATTTATATTTATTTTCCATCTGAAATCTGAAGTTTGGTACCTGCAAGACACATTTGTTGGTTACACTTTGAATTCTACTGGCGGCTAAATATTAAATTCTTATTCTGACATTTCTTTCAAATATTTTTAACGTGTTTATCAATCACTGCTTTAATTTAAACTAAAAATAAACAATATATGAAAACTTTATAAGCTTTCAGAGAAAGCTGACCAAGTGGGACAAATTATGAGAATAAATAGTAATAATTTAGTCTCTTTCTCTCATTTATTAAATTTTTCTTCTCCGCGTAATTAAAAGTTGATATTTTTGTATGCAAATAATTATAAACGTCTTTATTTCTATAGCTTTTCGAATCTGATAAAGTTTGTAGCCTCGGACAGAAATTACTAGAAATTATCTTCGTCGCGGAATGTTGATGCTCATCGGTCAATTAGGCTCTTTAATTATTAATTTTCAACTCTGAAAAAAAACTGCTCTCGTATAAATGTATTTCCAAATAAAGCAATTATTCTTAGCTCAAAAATGCGTACCTGAGCTTATTTACTTGTTTGTGTTATGAAGTACGAATAAAACTTAATAAAATCTGTATCTTCTAATCTTAAAGATTTGTATCACATTGCAAATTACGAGTAATT